TTCAGATACTCTAGCATTGTCAAAGGACATGCAAAATATAAATATTATTCTAAAATTAGGGGAAGAAAATCTAAGAACATTTTCCAAACTAGAAAGTGAGGTATGGGAATGTTGCAGAAAATTACTCAGCCTTCACTTGGAAACCCTATCGCAACTGTGAATTAATCAACATTTTCCAAGGTCAGATAAATTTATGGTCATTGCACAAAATACCATTATGGTTGGTTGGAGGTAGCGACAAGGAAAGGATATAAGAAGAGAGAACATTAGGGACCAGACCACATAGGAATTTTAAACCCCTTTTATGAAAGGAACCTCCTAAAATTTCTACATCAACTCACAACCATAAATATGCCAACATGATTAAAGCAATGGCACTGGCACATAATGATCAAAATCAATTACTTCACCATCAAGCTGATAAAAGAAAAAATTACTTCACCATCAATTTTTTTTTAGTCCGTAATCACAAAATCAATTGTAGTCCTAGTAGGCTAGCATAAAGGATACAATTTATAAATCAAACAATTTGAATGAGAAAGCAAACCAGAGAACCTTACAATAAATTTGATTCTCACTCACTCCATCCACATTTTTTTACAAAAAATTTAGAATAAATGTAGTATAATTTATTACCTGAGAGAATATTGTCTCAGCCATAAGATACTCATATCGGAAGGGCACAGGCAAGCCAACCATGAAAGAAGCACATTCCTTTCGACTAGCTTTGCATGAATCAAGAAGCAAAAGTAAATAATATCAAAATGACTAAATATCTTTGAAAGCAAAACAAAAGGAATTACTTGTAAAATCCAAATAAAAAAAAGACAGAATATACGTAGAGAGAGGGATCAATCTGATGACTTGACTCAAGAGGGCCAACACATCCACAAGGCACAAGTGAATACCAATAAAAAAAAAGACATCAAGAGTACACTAGCAGCTGATCTATAGCAAAAAAATAAAAGAGTGAAGAGTCAAGTTGTATACAAACCAGCCATTCAGGAACAAAAGCACGTCAAGCAAATATTCCTCAACAACAAAACGATCTATAGGCTGCAAATCCTGTCAAAGAATACAAGGAGTAAGAGAGCAAGAGAGTGGGAGGGGAAATTAGACTAGAGATATAGAAAGAGAAAAGGATTACAGCATCTACTCATTCCTGGTCAAAGTGCAATGCCACAGGTTCAGACTTTTTTTTTTTTTCATTTTTTATTTGAAAAAACTCATAAGGTTATAAAACATGTTAAAATGGTGCAGACACACATCACTGTAAGTTTTTATCTTCTTTTCTTCTAATCCTCATGTATAATTTTATTATAATCATAAAATATAATTGTAGAATAAAAGTTGGATGTTCTGATTTCCAATAGCTGGGGATGATATTACTTTCAGGAATGATAATTTGAATCAGCCGACCAGATATATATATATGTGACTTTTTTGCACTTGTAAAGAGCAAAAAGTGCTAAATCGAACTGTATATTCAGCAAACTGGATTCCTCATCTAACTCATTCTTTAGATGTCCCTCCACAAGAACTATATTCACTGTAGCTACAACTATTGAAAACTGAATCTAAGAATATTAAGGTATGAAATAACCTCATGGCTGAAAGCCCAAGAATTGAAGAATGCAAAGAGTAATCCGGTATTACAAGGAAAATACCATTTCAGATAGTACTTACCTCAGTTTTACTAGTGTGGAATATGTTAAGTCTGTGCAACCTTTGAGGATACCTCAACTCTGCAATATGTCTTTGTTCACCATATGTCATCTCAGAGAGTGTTGAAGGGGCATCAGGCAGCTCAGGGCAACTGATGGCCCCAAATTCGTGAGACTTTCCAGCAACTAGCTGGGCTTCAAATGAAAGGTGAGGTCTGGGCACTAGAAAAGAAAAACATATAATGATCAGTAACAAATCTACCAAATAGCAAGCAATTAACATTTTTCTGGTGAAACACACCTTGGTAGGAAAAGAAAACACCAACAAACTAGCATTCATCTTCAATCATGATCAGCAATAAAAAACATCTCATCAAAAAATGATAATAATAATAATAAAATAATGGGCAAAACTCGAAACCCCAGATTTCATTTTCTATTTTATTCTGTTATTGCATATATAATCTTCCATTAGAAGTCGAAAGTTGTCCCAAGAATATTACACCAAACAACCCATATCACACCAAACATTGTAAAATAAGAAAATAAGAATATTCTATTACTTTCAATAGCAGCAGTATCAAAAAATATAATGACTCAGCCTATATTGCAAAAGCCAGAGACAAATCCATAAGAAGAACGAGGCAAAAGAAACAACACAGTAACAAGATTTAATCTTACCACTATCAAGTTTCCATCCATTGTTAGACAGGACTTGAATCCGTTCCCATAAGTCTTCAAGGAAATCCTGAAAAGAAAAGAAATACAAAAACATTAAAACAGAAAAAAAAAAAAAAAAAAAAAAAATCAATTAATTATTGAGACTTTGTCAAAAAAAAAAAAAAAGATAAATAAAAAAAGAGGCAAGATTACCAAGATGAAAACTTCAGCAGTTACAAACATACAACCAGCCACAATGATCAATACAGACACACCAATTTTACATAAGAGATATTACACTACAGTGAAGGGTGATGCAAAAAGCATACTTACACCAACAAGCAACCACAGCTGCTAAAAAATAACCGACCATGAGGATCAATCCCCAAAAGTTCTGCTCCTCGAAGTGACTTAAAAGTTTTCATCCAAGGTTTATTTCTGTCAATTGCACACTCAGGGCAGTACCAATCACCCTCTGGCAAAAGCGCACTGGCAACACCAACACACTTTGAATGATAAGCAGCAGGACAGCCATCACAGCATATTAAGCTCCCATCCATCTTACAAAGGCAGCATTCGTCGAAATTCCAGTCTGCAGTGTCATCAACACCCTCTTCAGTCGAACAAGATCCACCCGACAAATCCACCACAGCTTTCCTTTTCTTGCAAACCTCAATATTTACACCTCGATCAAAATCCATCTCTGAGTCAGATGCCGAAGATCTTCTATTAACCTCTGATCTTATGGTTTCAACCTCAATCATATCATCACACAACCACCTTAGTACCTCAATCTTCACAGAAGCTGGTTGTTTATAATAGTCAGTTCTGAATGGGTTCAAACTACTAAGATAAAAACCAGGGTTTAATCCTTCACGATGAATCAGTAGGTACGCAACCATAAAAATGGGCCATGTGATAGCATCCAACAAACCCCAATTAAGACTCCTATAATAAAATCAACAGAGAAACGTTAAAAACTTATAATGCGCATGGAGAGACAACTTGCAGGTTGACAAAAACATGGGGAGAGGAGGTGAAAGAGAGTAGAAAGAAGGAAAATACCTCAAACACTCAGAGGCTGATTCAGAACCTTCATTTGCCAGCTGCTCCAGATGCTTTCTCAGAGTTTTCAAAATTGAAACATTAATACTATCAAATAACGAGCTAGGGGACTTGGAGTTGAGGGCTGCCACAAAATCCTCCAACTCAAAGGGACTTAAAAATAGTAAAGTACTAAATGATCTCAAACAAGCATAAATGGAAAAAACATCAAGAACGGCAACTCCATCTAAATTCAAACTCTGCGAAGATGGTGGTAGTTGCAGCTTTGGAGGACAAACAATATGCTCTTCAAGAGTTTTATAGCCTGATTTAACAGGCTTCTCCTCTGTTACGGCACTAACTGCTGGAGATGCAGATAATTCATCCATAAAAGATACTTTTGGTCTTAAAACCTGATTTTTAGCAGATCCTCTTCGGGCACTTCTTCTCAAGACCTTTTCTGCAGTAGAATCTATATTCTCTGAAACCTTTCTCCGCTTTCTTCGGCCCCTGACTTGTCTGTAAGAATTACTCACATCACCAAGGCACCCATCATCAACTACTGCTGTACCAGGTTCTTCCAGGCCATCTTTCAACACAACTCCATGGCAATTAAATTCCTTAATTAAAACACCACTGTCCTTACCAATTCCCCCAACAGACTGTAACAGCCAATCTCCAGATACATGAACTTCCTTGAGTTCCCCATTACAAAGACTCTCTCCATTAACAGTTCCCACCACTTTCCCCTTTTCTCGAACCATCTGAGGGTGAATAAATTCTCTCGCTTGCCCATCATAGTTAATGTTGTCACCGTCCTTAGTAGCCTCATCTTCAACCCGCAAATTCAAATCAAAACCACATTCCTTCTGCCTTGTCTCCTCAACAGAGTAATCAACATTAACAGTTACCTCTGTAAAGCAATCCGCATCCAGATTCAAATCAATAGACTCTCTCTTCAAATTCCCCTCGCCATTATTATCAACCCCACCAGGAGAACCAAAATCTTCATTCAGATTGAAACCAAATCCAGAATTCAAATCAATACAATTTTTCATTTCAACACTTCCATTCAATTTCGAATTCTCCTCACCCCCGGCTTCCTTCTCTATGGTATCATTTAAATTCCTATCAGCAGACTTGGTTTCTGTCGAATTCACAACAAGCGCCTCATTCAGATCAACACTTGTATTCGAATTCCCATTCATATAATCTAGGGTTTCCTTCTCCATCTTACCTGGATGAAGACTGGCACCAATTTCATTCTGGGCAGCCCTCCTGTCGACACGGCGCCTCTTCTTCGGCTTGCGGCCAACCCGCGGCTTCTCCTGAACCTGCTTTGGCTCGACTCGTCCCTCGCCGTTAGTGCCAGCCATGACGAGCGAAGCAACCTCAGAGAGATCGAGCTCCTCCGAATCCCCATCTGCATAGACGATCTCAAAAAATCCTGACGAGTTGTCGTACGATTTCACGACCCCCGTAAAAACCCCGAAGCCCTTGAAATCTTTCTTCACAGTTTTTCCTACAAACTCCATCTTTTCATTGCCTTCGCATCTCCCTCCTTCCCCTTCCAAGAATTCAGCCAAAAAGGAAGCAGAAAACACCAGTGACACTCCAACCTTAACAGAGAACCCAAACAAATCAAAACCCAGATGGGAAATGCCGGCTAAATCCTCTCTGCAAATTGGGGTTTTAGAGAAACAAACGGGATTTCGTAGGTTTTCTTTTTCTCTCTCTCTAAGAATGCTTTTAACGCGCAGAGAAGGTGAACGATATGTGAATTGACTTCCTCTTTCTCTCTCAAGAAAGGGGGCTGACACCGAAGTGGAAGAGAGAGAAAGAAAAGGGCAGATGTTAGGTGCAAATAAGATGGGAAAAAATCAAAACCCAATTTTTTGTTTTTATACGATTTTTCGGTCAAAACTGGAGAGCAGGTTTTATAAAGAGAAGATTTTGATTTTGCTTTGATCTTCCATAAATGAATTAGTAACAGTCGAAAGAAAGGAACGAATAAAGGAGGAAGAAGGGTTTGAAGCCGTGGAAGAGAAAAAAAAAAAAAAAAAGCCTCTTAAATTAAGTTGAACTGCAAATCTTTGAATTTAAAGAGAAATTCTTAGAGCTCGAGCCCCCCAAAAAAAAAAAAAGAGAGAGGAGGGAACCCATCTGTTAAAATAGAATCTGAATTAGAGTTAGTACTAAAATTGGGTTAAAGAATAAATTTTGACTTGGTTATTTAGAGTCAACGCACTTTTTTTTTTTTCCTCATCTCCTTGATCTTAATTGAAATGTGGAAAAAGGTATTTTTTGTGTGTATCTACCAAATTAATAATAAGTTCGTACTTAAAAATGATTGAATGAAAATTAATTTTGAGATAAAAATAAATTGAGTACCTTTCACCCTTTTGATGATGAATAAGATAAATGCAAATTATTGATTTTCACTTTTATATTTGATTATTGTTAATTTAATTTTACAAATTTTGAGATAGTGGATAGAGAGCTTTTGTTTTTTATTTTTCTAAAAAACTAAAAACAAGGATTGGTCATTGGATAGAAGAAACTGACAGGGTATCAGATTGTCAATTTATTAAAGCTTTGCAGACAAAGGAAAGGATTTCATTCTTTATAATTTTAGAGTGTTAGATTATTGGAATGTTTAATATCTTCCACTAAGGGCTACAAAGGAGCCCTGGAAGTATAAGATACTCTTTATCCCATCTTGTATCACATCTTGTATCCCACTCTTTCCCCAATAAAGAAAATTTAACCCACCTTACCCATGAGAAAAGAGAATCATCTTCCTTCAATTAAGAATGAAATATTGTTGACAATTTCTTGTAAAACAAATTAAAAAGTTACTATTATTAAAATTAAAATTAATCAAATTTAATTTTTACAAGGTCAAATTTATCCGTACAACCAATTATTTATATCTAATCTCACTCTATCTCTAAATCAAGCAAACATGAAACTGGACTCAATACATCACATCCTATCTAGTCCTATTCAATCCCTACACTACAAATTTTATCCGATCCAATCTAATCCTATGGTCCAATCAGGTCGTAAGTGTATGCCATACCTAGAAAGAAATCAAGAAGAAGAATTGAATGTTCGGCGTCAAAGCTTGAAGAAGCGCATCAAAAGTAAAACTGTAAGTGCATAGTTTAAAGGCAAATCAGCAAAAACTGCTTTAAGCATGGCTTGCTTTTTGACCAATCACTTATGATATGAGCTGAAGATGCCAAATGGAACCAATACTTGAACTATTGGCTTTTAGGTACTTTTTTTAGAATAATCACATCAAATGGAACCAATACTTGCATTATTGACTTATAGGTACTTGTTTTAAAAGTGTGATCTATCTATCTAGGATTGGAGATGGGCAGTAGCCCAACAATTTCAATTGCATTAACTAAGATCAACTCCAGCAATAATAACAACATAATACAACCCTAAATGCATAAAATAGGCAGTTTCTTAATCTCTATGACCTTGAATGAGAGAGAAGGGGTAATAAAGATTTAACATTTAGCAGCTAATTCACACACAGGAAATGCTAAAAGGATCTTAGACAATATAGCCAGACAATCAGCTTACAGGTTCCTGAACAAGTTTGCTAAGACACTCAGTTAAGACTGTTAAGTATATTCATATTGTTTTCCAGAAAATTTCAAACCAGGATAGTACCGGGATTGAATGATCACATCAATGCATGTCATGCTTAACTGAATTGTAACTTGTAAGTTATGCCAAAAACCAGATGTTTAGACTCTAGTATATCTCTGTCCTTGTTTTTGAGTAAAAAAGCACAATCAACCTCAATCTCCATCAAAACTTCCATGGACATACCATGTCATACCGTCCATGGTCTATATCCTCTTACACTACAAGCAGACTCTAATCATCATAAAGACAGTACCCTGATGCTGATGGAGGGAAAAGCATCATCCCCTTCACTCTATTCTACAATACATGAGAGGAGAAAAACATTTAAAATAGAAATTGAGCAAAAAAACTTCCATCTTTGATGGCTGCATCAGCTATGACTTCCTGAATTAGGCGAGTCACCAAATAAAATTGATGAATTTTCAGGATAAAGGATGATATATGGAACTGGCATTCCCCTTCTAGCAAAAATCCATATCCATTGAAAATTGAACAAATCAAAAAGACTATGAGCAATAGCAATCAAAATAAGACATCAAAAGTAACCAAACAGCAAACAAACTGATGAAATGAAATCAACATTATATAGTAATTTCCAATTTATCCACTTGCCAAAAAAAAAAAAAAATTCATAAGGAGTACAATATCAAGTTCTTAGATTGACCAGACCGCATACAAGAGAAAAAGGGCAATCGAAAACAGTCACCAAATAAATTAATCAGTCATTGGAGCTGGTGCTGGGTCCACAATCACCCTTGCGATCATGGCCACAGGACCGGTGACTATGATGATTGTGATCATCGTCGTCGCTGTCGTCTTCATCGAAGGGCTTTTCTTTGTGGAAGATGCAGCATTTCTTCGAACTCTTCTTGTTCATGAACTCGTTATCAACAGTCCCCTCTTTCCAGGTCACCTTCTTCTTCCTGGGGCGAAGTTGGAGAACGAGGGTCTCCTGAGGTTGCGACGAAGAGGGAGGGTTTTCCACGGTCACCGTCGAGGCGACGGAGGAGGAAGAGGAGGAGGTCGACACTGTTGATCTCGTCGCTGCGCTCATTGGTCGAGCCATTCGTCAGCGTTAGGGTTAAGCAATTTAGGGATTTGGAGGAGGACGTCGCGAGTTACTAGCACCGGGAAGAGTCTCTTAAGCCTTCCTCTCGTTCTGTTTCCATTTTATAATTTTTACTATAAACAATAATTCTTCATATAATTTTGCCTTTTCTTATTTTGACATAAATTTTTTTTTTTAGTTTTTATTTGACTATTATATTCATATTAACATGTAACTTATAATTAGCTTTGAAAAGAATAAGAATATGGTATTTTTTTGTTATGTTCCATTTTTATAGGTTTTTTTTTTTTATACATTAGAGATTTATTTTTATTTATTTATTTTTTAACATGATTACAATGAGGGAAGAGGTAATGGGATATAAGAATTGAAATATAAGAATAAGAATTCGTGAAATTTGAAACTGCAACTTATGAAAATAATCCTATTAACTTAAAATCAATGACATTGAATCAAAACATACGAACTTTATACATTAGAGATTTAATTGCTTGATATAATATAAATTTAAATTCAATAATAATACATATTTACTCATAAATTTGAACTCAACACTAATATATATATATATTTTTTGACTAAGTTTACAAGGGTGGATATCGAACCCATCATGAGAGAAGGGTGGATATCGAACCCATCATGAGAGAAGGGAGAAATGCACTGCAAGGCAGTCCTAATACCGCTTGGCCCGAAGGGCCAAGCGCAACTCAACACTAATATTAGTAGGAAATAGTCGGGCACGGTTGATGAACCTAAGTCAAAACATTTCCAAAAACATGTTTCCAGCCAAGGATTAGAATTAGAAACTTTAATTCTAACCTTGTAACTCTTAAGATTAGCATTAACTTTTTAGTGTTATATATCTCAATTTAATAAGTAATTTTAATATATTTTTAAAGTATTTTTCATTATTTTACTTAAATAATTTCTAGTTAGAACATCACTTTCATAAAAGCTACAATTAGGTCAAATAGACGCTGAAACGAGTATGAAAACTGTCAACACATCATAATGCTTTCATCATCTAATCAACGAAACTGTTAATTTACTCAAACCAATAAATTAAGAAAGAATAAAAAAAAAAAAAAGCAACTAAGTTTGTCAACAATTTTTGAAGATAAATTGAGTTTCATTTACTTCTATCCGCGTGTCTAATTTACAACAAGAAATATTTGCTCAAGGAAGAGGAATTGTGAGATGTTAAAAATGGTACAAGCAATTCGAGTTGTTGATCAGTCAGACGGCGCCTCATTGATGGGTCTACGTAGGCCAGAGTAAACTGCACTCCGGAAAAGAGGATGAGCATTGTTGGTTAACACTTCCGAATCCAATTTCTCAATGAGAGGCCATATCTGCAAACAAACAGCAGAAATCATAATGAAATCCAGAAAGAATGAGGAGGTCGAAAAACAATTCTTACTTACCTCAGAAGCATATTGCCGTGAAAATGCCTTGACATAGCCTAGTGTTGATATACACCACTGCTCTTTTTCTCCTATGTTATAGACTTTGTTTGCCCCCTCCCCATTTGACTGACTGCAATAGTATAATAGATAAAAAGTTGGAATCGTTCAGTGTCTTCTGGATATTGTAACATAAAACGTGCAAGAAAGGAAACCAGAGGACATGGGATGATAGGGTGATTAGCACCTCTTCTTAGGTCCTCCATTCTCGTTGTCAACCTCCATCGCAGATGATTCTTCTAGGTCAACAGCCATTGAATCTGAGTTGATAGACTTTAATTCACGCAATGTTCCAGCTTTGGACGGATCAGGTAGGCGTTCCGCCAATATTTTGGAAAAGTTACCATATAGAGAGAGGAATAGCTCCTGCATATTCAGGGAAATAGAATTAAAACGGTGAAAAAAGATTTGTATTAGAAAGAGGTAATTTGGAACAGTAATGTGCAACCAATGGCCAAATTCCCAACTATGTCCATTGAATAGTAGGGTTTGGTTGCTGGCTCATTGCCTGATCTAAGCACTGAAACCGATCATCTACTGATCATTGTGTGAAGCATTAAGACTCAAGGCACATAAACACAAGCCTAGTTATGGGCAACGGCCATGCATCAAGCTCCCAAAATCATGTATAAGTGCATTATTGGACTAAAATTAGGAAATACTCCACAGACAGGGAAAATAAATTTAAAGCTAGAAGACAAGACACAAATTGAAGGAAAAAAAAAAAAAAATATATATATATTTATCTGTAATTGAAGGAGATATGGCAGTCAATAATGTTGTATGCTAATGGAGACAAAATAAGGAGATGC